CTTGTTCTCCAGAAAAAAAAAATAGTTGCTGGAGATTACTAGGCCATATAGCTGTTTGTCCTTTTCCACTTAGATCCACAGAAAGTTTTACACAATGTTGAGAATACAGAGTGCACTTTAAAATGTGTGTAGGAAAAATTGGCTGTGTCTTTCTGAAAGTGCCTCTTTTAAAAATGTCACTGAATGTGCAGAAATTAGTGAGGCTTCATAAATGAACTGTCCGAAGTACCTGCACCAAGTCATGACAACAGCACTCAGAAGCTAATAAAAGTTGTGTTTGCTTGGCTCTGGCTTTCTGACACTCATTACAGTGACAAGTGTCAGTCATACTACTGGTACTGTAGTATGCACCGAGAGCAGCGGGTCAGACAGTGAGAACACAGATTTCAGCACCATTCAAAGCACGTCCTCACTGAGCTGGAGCTGTATGAACTCATTCCAGTGCAGCATCTTCCTGACAAAGTCAGCCTTTTGCCTCTTTTCTAAACACATCATAAATCTGTTTGTGACTCATTCCTATGTAGTTTACTTCAACAAATTTTGTCTTTCAGTTACACAGTTTGCTTATACAATTTAAACTGGTCCACTAAATGCAAGTTAGTCTTTGAACTCTGAAGTTTAATAAACAGCTTTTGCTGTTTGCTGAATATTTGTGAACATTCAGAACTGTTGTGTTATGTGACTAATAAAATCTTTTCAGAGTGTATGTGAGAAATTAAACTGCTTGCAGCTTTATTCTTGAAAGCAACAGAGGACGTGTTCACAAATGCATTAGTGTTTCATTTTCTCAAACCTTGAATCATATTTACGTGACACAGTCGATCTTTCATTATTTACCAGAATTTTCTAAAACTTTGTGAGAGAGGAAGCATGAAATTGGTAGATCAGCCATTAAAAAAATTGGGCAGCTCATACAAAAAGGATCAAACTGCAGTGAGTGTTACCTTTGAATTAGTGGGTTCGTACAGCAGCTTCTGCCATATAGAAAAATTCTTCTTTCACTACTGTAGTTAGTAAACTAATTTAACTGAAGTATTCATGAAGAAGTCATTAAACCTCTTAATGTCATATTAGACATTTAATCCCTGAAAGAAAATGGTGGACTCTTAATCATTAGGACAGGGTTTTATTAATGCTTTTATAAGCCATCTAGTTTCATCAGGGCCAGTTTCTAGTAATGTCAATTTAATGTGTCATTCTTGAGAAAATTCCAAAGCACTGCCAGCTTGCCTTGAAATCATAACAGCATTAGCTCCCCTTTCTGTATTTAGATTCTCTGCCATAACTTCATTCCTGACTTTTTGTAGGTTCTACAGCATTTAAACTCTTAAGTAGGATCATGGAAACATATTGCATGCAATGTTGGGTTTTAGCTCTACCAGTCAACACACAATCTGATGCACAGGTTTTCAGGATTGCCCAGCTGAGGTCTAACTGATGATGTGACAGATTATTCAGAACAGAAATTGCTAGGATAAAACAAAGAAGGTTTTCTCTTTCTCTCTTTGTGGTTTGGTGAACACATCTTTATCTTTTAAAATAAGAATGTCCCACTGATTCTACTTCAAAATCAAAAAAACTCTGTGTGTATAAAATACATGTAAATGGGTGAGAAAGAGAAAATTCTTAATACGACTATACCTTAGTGCTTCACAGCTGCTTGTGTATATCCATATATCACTGAAAAAGAGATGTTACATTTGAAGGAAGAAAATTCAGCAACTACTCAGAACTTTTCCTGGTTGAATTTATGTATTTCTGGTTCGAGACAATATTGTCTTTGGTTTAAAAACTCTTTTGTAATTTCTCCTCAGCACTGCTCCATGAGCAGTTATTCTCTCTAAGTAGGTGTATTTGTGCATTTTTGTGTGATAGTAGTGTATGATGGAGAAAATCTGCCCCATCGTACTATTCTGTAAGATCAGAGTGCTTTCATTATAACAAGGCACCACACAGCATCACTGAAGAGTTGTTCAAAATTGATCATAAGAAAGAGACAAAAATGGGCATCACAAATCTCCTTGAGGAGAGATAACATCCCCTTTTCCCACTGTCCTGGTTTTCTGTGAAAATTAGTACATGCAGATTAGGGTTTTGGGCCTTCTCCCCCCACTGTCATGTCCCATTCCACCCCTATCCCTGGCTGAAGCTCTGGAGACGGAGTCAAAGACCCATAAAAATACTTCCATGAATTAGCGTATCACAGTCCAAAGTTGGTAATTTTTTCCATTTGGCTTTTAAAGCAGGTGCGATGAACAATGTTTTTATAGTGTCATTCTTAATTTGTAGGGGATTATTCAAGATGTTTATTGCATTTCGGGAGGCATGGTTTTGTTTCTGTTCCACAGAGAGCTGTTTGCAAAGAATTCAACCAGTAGGCTTATTCTATAGGCAGAATATTCCACAAGCAGAAACATTGAAAAAGCCTATTTAGCCAATGATGAAGCAAAAGCAATATGGTTTACTCAAAAAGAGAGGCATATTATGAATGAAGTCAGTACAGAGGAAAATACAGATGCTTTTTAAGGGCACAGGGCAGCACCCGTGTATTTCATCTTCAAAGCTGTGAAGACCACAACAAATACAAATATTGAAAAAATGGATGCATTGTCTTTCAGCTTCATTAACCCTGGTCACATCTGCATTTATTCTGAAGCTTTTAAAAGCTCTTCAGTATTGATCTCGTTCTGTAGGCTCTTGTGGTTTGGTTTCTTTTTCTCCCCTTATCTTGTACTAAGGAGCGGGTAGAGAAGCTGATGCCCTAAATTCTAGTCTTGGATTTGCCACATGCTGCCAGTGGCATTTGACATACTGAGGCAAATAGACATGTTATACTCTAATATAAAAATCAGATATTTATCTACCTTATCTCACGTTTCAAAGTAAATTCGTTAGTGTTTACTCTCCATTTTGTTGAGTGCTACAGAAAATACCGATAACTTCAGAGTTTGCAATAGCAATAAATAATGATGCCACATTTTAAAACATTTTGTGGAAGAAGTTCATGCTTTTACACAGAAGGAAACCTCATTTGCATATGCAACATAATCTGCCCTCCTTGCTAGAAGACACTTGGAGGCGAAGTAAGCGTAGGTTTGAAAATGAGTGGAGAAATTAATGAAAGAAAAAAACCACTGAGAGCTATTAAATACCAAGATACATTCAGGAAATCTAAATATGCTAAACTGGTACTTTGAGAAGGTATCCCTGTAATAGCCTGTGCTGTTGCCCACACTCTGAGGCAGGGTGCTGGGGTACCTGTGGTCTGTCCCTTGCTGTCATTCTATTTAGCTTTTTAATCATAGTTCTGATGTTTTTCTCTTTGTGTCCAAACAAAGATCAGCTTTATTGCCTTGTCTTGTGTATATGCAGATATCCAAAGCACTATCTTCTTCTTAGTATCTTACAGTGTCATGTTTATACCATAATATGACCAGACTGACATGTCAAGGCCATGTCCTCCTGAAAAATGATGCAATTAGACTTCACAAGTATTACTCACTGCTTCTGGTGTGACATGGTTTCATCTTGCAAGACTGAATCACTGGCATTTTGAAAGAAGGGCTGTGGAATAATAATGCATCAACCTTATGAGCCATTCCTGTGAACAGGGACCTTTACAAAGAATTAAAACTGGAAAAGAATCCGTAGTATGAAAACACTGTCTCTAATGCACTCTCTCAATCTGTTCTATTGTAGAAATTTGTGAAGACTGCTTTACACACTGGTAGAGCTAATAGAGTAGGAGGTGGAACACTAATTACAGCACAAAGCAGTAACTGAAAACCCTTGGCAATGCTTAGCTACAATAATGTACCCTATAGACTTTTTCTAAGCTTCAGCATTTCAACCTGGGATTCAGTCTCTCAGTTTTTACTGAGAACAGCTTCAAGCAAAGAACCCATTGACGTCAGTGGGAGTTACGCCTAAATAAGAACAGCAGGTTCTGGCCCCTGAATTGTAACTCTTTGTGTAATGTAGTTTTCCTGCTAGTTGGGACACACATTTATACAGCTCTTTGTGGAATATTTTCATTTCTGAAGCTTGCAGTGGGACAATGAAAACTGGATAATCTTACCCATAAACTTAATGGAGCCCTGGGGGCACCTGGCAGGGGGACCTGTAAGGGCACTTGCTGCTTTCCATTTGAATGTTATGCTATTTCTTGAATTTAACTGAACTCAAGACCCTGTCTCTTCACTTTCATAATAATTGGAGGGACATAAAATCAGCAACATGTGCTTGGTCAGCTGTCCTGCTTTCTCCTAAGCACTGAATTTACAGCACACACATGCTCTGAGGCTATTCTTCTCTTATCTTTTATGGTATCTAAACTTATTCCTGATAAATCTAATTCATATAGATTGACAGTTCAAACAATGTGCTTCCCGAGTCTCAGGAGGAAACGTATGGCTCACTTTTGGTTTAGTAACTTACGGAGATTAGGTTTTGCATAATGTAAATGTGAGGTGGGTGATACTTTGTAATGCTCTGAATGCAATTAGTGAGATAAATACAGAGCTAAATTCATTCTCTCTGGAAAGAGGCAATCTGATTGCTATGCAGAAAGCACCTTTATTTGCAGTACTGGTGGTTCATAATGTGGTTAGCAGTGCAGAGTGGCATTTTGATTTGCAGTTTTAAAGAATTCTGGGATGAATAAAACATGGAATCAATTGCCAGAGAAGAACCTTTGCCAGACTAGATGAGATCTACTGTGCTGAATGAAAGCTATAACCTATGACAGCCTCTGTTCTGCTCCCAAAGGAAATGATGTCAGTACCAGAAAAGGTTAAATAGCACTTCAGATAATTTGCAGCGCCAGAAGTCCTTCCTCTTTAGATGCAGGTTGGGGGTAAACACATATTCATGCGTCCTGTCGCCCTGCAGCAGCATGATTAGAGCAGAGCTGTGAAAAATATCAAACGCCAGGCTTTGTATTAATAAATTTGAATCCTTGTCGCAGTTGATTTTGAAGTAGGAAAAGCCACCAGGTTGGAAGGGAGAGAGAACTGGGATGTTTCGATATATGGGGGATCCTAATTCCATATGTGAAGTTGTGTATGAAATGTTCTAAATACCTACAGAAACCTGCTGAAATAAGGGAACACTGAGCATGCCCAGGAGAAACACTTCAGGGGCATTTTGGGAATTCTGGCTTATGGAGGCCGGAAGACTCCATTGAAGTACCTGTTGTTGAAGTGAGCTTCCTCCATCAATAGATGGATTTATGGCAGAAACTGAATGAATCAGTTCTGTGTCTCAGTGGAAGCCCAGAAGAACAAATAGAAGATGCAAGTATAATTTTAAAAAACATAGAGTAGTGAATATTATTTGGGTTCCATTTTGTTTTACAGGGCTAATAAATTCAGCTCAGGTTTGTCGTGGATTTTCCTAGAGCTGGCACATACAGATGGATACAGACTAACAGGTTTGGAGGTTTTAATTGTTAACAAATAAGGAATGGTCATTTTAGTTCATGTTGGTTTTTATACTTGGAGTCCATTTGAACACCCTGTAAACTGGCACTGTAGGTTCTCACCTGGTCCCAACCACATTGGAAGCCTAAGTTGTGTTTCAGAAAGGTGAAAAAGACCCTAAAGCTGCACGGTGTTGTCCTTTGAAAGTTCTGTCTTAGTGGTCATTTCTTGACAAATGCAACTGTCCTGAGGAGGATCAATTAAGAAAAATAAGAAAATGCCAATCTCCCCATTTACACTTCTTTTTCCAGTGGGGTGTTTGTGTTGACATTGTGTTCAAGACATTAGAGGAAAGAAAGAGAACAGAAATTTGTGGTGGTTCTCACAGGCTTTGTTGACTGCAACAGGCAGCTGGGGTAGGGAGCCTAAGGGAGTATCCAGTATCAGTGCTCAGGGTTGTTGTGTTTGTAAAGAATGGCAGCTGGGCAAGCACTGCAGCAGTACCATGATGGATTTAAGGGGCTTTCTTGTGGGGGAAATTAACATTCAGTCAAAGGAAGAGGAGCAGTAGCTTTCCTCTTTCTACAGGTTTTACACAAAGTACACACAAACACACACTTCTACAAATCTAGATTTGTAAAATTTAATATCCCAACATGCTTTTCACAATCCCATAAAAACAACTGTGTGTGTCTAGTAGAATATGGTATGGAGGAGGAGAAAGAAAATGGTTTTAAGCCACTTGCTCTAGTGATTTCACAGAACGTGCTGTAGTGTAATGGAAAGACTTTTAAAGAAAGGAGGGAATGACCAAAGATATTACTGCAAAATGTGTTTATTTCTTGAATTCCTATTCATTTCTATGTAAATGGTGAATTAAAGGCAGAAAGCTTGGAGGAGGAAATGAGAACATCTACCAGAAGAAAAGATAAGCAAAGTATTTAGCTAAAAAAATCTTGGAATGAATAAAACATTCATACGAAAGCAGTTTTGATATCAGTATTTGTCACACTTGTATTGGTGTACTTTAGCTGGCTGGTTTTCTGCAGATCTGTGGACACCAGTGAGATGTAGGATCTTTAAGGAGAATTGAGAGAGAGAGAAGCTGGAGTTTTCTAATGAGAAATTAATATCCATACTCTGGATATCCAGGGTTGTGTCTGCAGTGTAATTAACTAGAATTTGAGCTCTTTCACATGTCAATGAAGTAATTGAAAGCACTGCCAGCCATAATCCTTCTCCTCTTTATTTATGGGACTTTGCAGGTCTATAAACTACCTTTTTAATTGAAAATTCTTAAAATTGGTTTTTGTCTTTTGTGTCATTTCAGGGTTTCACTACTGTCACATTATGTTGTATGATGCAAGTCGTACCATGATCAGTTCAGTTTGAGCATGATGAATATGCTTTCTTAAAGCATCTCTGAGGAGAGCAGTTAATAAAAGGACATTTCATATAACTATCTTATTTTGGAATTTCTAGCCTCAAGTATTTCCCCAATCTCAGGGTATTGATTCTCTGCATCTGACCTATTACAGTTGTAAAAAATAAATCTATTTGTTTATGAAAACCCTCAGCTGCCAACCAGAGCAGATGTGAAAGGTTGTCACGCATTAAAAATCTCACTGAGTTGTGAAACCTCAAAATGAGCCTATCACTACCTTTTAGCTCAGTGTTGTGGATCAGGTTTTCAGCAGTGGCCATGACACATACGAGTATTTGTGGAAGTACTCAATATCTATGGGCCTAAAAACTAGTTTATGGCATGTATAGCTATGGTCTGTTTTAATTTTCATTGTTTCTCTTAATTATTTCTCTAGTTTTTCCAATATTATTTTGCATTATAATCCTGTCTGTGATGAGTATATGAAGATACTTGCTGATGGTTCATCAAAAATGATCCATATACCCACCTTCCTGTATTGGGCGATGGGCAAGGAGGCAGAATAATCTGCATTCCACCTGCACATTTGTTGGTACCCATGGGAAGTATGGGCATGTATGTGTGTGTGTGTGTGTTCTGATATTTCTGATGGAAGATAGGAGCTTGTCTCCTGGAAGGTGGGGATTTCAGAGGGCATCATCTGTGTAGTGTAGTCCTGTTGTGTACTGTGCATGTTGGTGTACTCTGCTGTAGAGCGACTGTACTTGTGCTTATCTGACCTCATAAGCTGTGTAATACGTTTCCAGCTCACCTTGTACCTGCTCTAGCTAGAGGACCTTATGGCCAAGCAGCCATTCTCTTCCTTAAGTTTGATAGTTTTGTCAAAAGGTTAATTCTGAAAAGCTGAAGAGTGAAAATTTTCTAGTCTTCAGGATTTGCAGGATGTATCAATAGACAGCTTAATACGATCATCTGAAGAATGCCAGAGTGAATAACAATTGGTGTTTCTATAAGCTGAGTATGTGATATTGCTAGTGCTATGTATATTAAACTGTCAGAGGGAATTTTTCTGTAGGTCTCACAATTGAACAAGACTGTTCAGAATAAGTCAGAAGCTATTTTGTTTTCAGCCATTCAAACCTCCCCAGTTTAGACACATTCCTTGTTTGCTTTGTGCCTGTTTGAAATTGCTTTGTTCTACATCTGTACGGTCATCTCAGTTAAATTTGAATGTGAAAGCCTGCTGCATGTGGCCTGGTAACTAATAGTCAGGGATAAGGTCACCATCTGCTCATAGAGTCAAAGCTTTGAGCTTAGAATTGCTTTTTACATGGACAAGGACAGGTTGTGAATGACTCTTCTAAAAGGTCAAATGAAAACGGGAAAACGACAGAAGACAGCTTTCAATCCTGCAGAAACTGTTGCCTCACTTCTTAGTGTTTGGTTTGGCCAACCCCATTTTTCTATAATGTAGAATGTCTTCAGCCATCTGTAAATTATTTCCAACTCTCTAATTTATCCTTGTTGTCAGTCCATTAACCTGCCTTAAATGACATCACGGATGCTTTTGACTTTTAGTTGGCTTTCAGTGTTTTCTCCGCTTATTCATTACATCTCGCTCATCTTCTGTATTATTCTTTTGCTCAGCTCAACACTGTTCTCTGATACTGAAAAAGATGGGGTTAACTGATCATGATGATAACCCAGACTTTCCTAAGATGGGAGCTGGGACTGTACAAAAATGTAGCACTAATAATCTTGGGTGAAACTTCAAACTTGTTGCCCCTTTCTCATGAGGTTTATTCAAGTTAGTTTGTTTCTTGAATTAAAATAGTGGGGTGCAGAGTGGGGTAGAACCGTAGCTCATTTAAAATTCTTATCCAGTGTTTCCAGGTTCTTTTACAGAAGAAACGCTGCTGAATTCCTTAAACATATGTGGCATTGAGTATTGAATAACTGGATACAGACAGCCAAGATATGACTTGTGATCAAAGTCATACTAAGAGCTTCAATCTTTATCTATAGGAGGAAGTTCACCTGCAATCTTACAGCTTTTCAGCAGTAAATGTTAGTTAGGTCAGTGGCATGTGTGAAGCAGCAGAATACCATCTGGAACCAGAATGGAATGGATCCTGTCCATCACTCTCTCACACAGACAGGCACAGAAGATTCCCCTGCCCTCCCCACTTTTTTTAATTGAAGTCAGTGTTAGGTTTGGGGATTATTCTTCAGTTCCTAATGCTTTTCTAAACACCTTTGATCTTTCTGATGGATTGTCTGCAAGAAACATAAGTTTTTCATTGAACTGTCCACAGTGACATATGGGACTTAGTCCTGAATGGTAAAAGCTAATTTAGTGCTCTCAAGTGTGCATCAGTTGTTTTACATGTAATCACTTTCTGCAAAGAAACTGATTTGGAATGCAGGAAGAATGTGTTTTTTTTTTTGGTTTTGAGCTTGTTACTCTATGAACTACCCCAAAAAGTTATTTGAATAATTTAAATTATTTGTTGCTATATTATCCATGACCCCTTTCCAATAATAGTGTCCCAAAATTAACCTTAAATTTGTATAATGTACTTTTCTAGCCAGACATTCCATTAATCTCAGGAAGAAATAGAATAATAGGAGTCTTGTTCTTGTACTTCATGGTACAAGTCAAAATGTTAGGGTGATATCTCAGGAGGTGTTTTCTTTGTCTATATAGGCATGTATATATGCATATACAAATGTTTTAAACAGAAGACTAAGCTGGAGCCCAGTCTGTAATAGCTGTAGAATGTTGGGTGGTTTCAAACTAGCCAGCCAGTTCTGTCCTTGCCATTGTCCCCTGCCTGGCTTATTAAGAGTGATGGTGTCATACAATTTCTTCGGCAGAGGTAACCAGTTAGGGCTGTATTCTCTCTCCTGTACCCAGTCTTCACCAGTGAATGCTGCAAGTATCCTTATTAAAGACCAAATGTTTTCCTCTCCTGTATGGACTTAGCATCTTCTGAAAATATTTATGTCAAAAGCACAAAGGTCAGAAATTAAAGCCAAGGGAGCTCAGATTTATAGTTGGGGCACTGAAGCCCACATCGGTTTAAGCACCTGCATTGCTATTTTATTAGTATACTCTTGTCCTCATTTCTTTTCTCTTTCCTCTTTCATTAGGTACACTTTCTCCATTGCAGCCCAGCAATATAATTATATTTCAATTCTAAATTAAGTGTCTTTCACAATATGAACTTCTTAGTAGTGTTCTGATACATTGCTTAACTTTTGTATCTCTGAATAGCACAAACACTGCTTTGCAGCTGACATTATGAATCTATTGTACCTAGACACTGAGAGCTTCTTCCAATAAATTGTCTAGAGAGGCCTGAGTCACTGGTTAGGATTCATTGTTAAAGATGGAAGTTACTTAGCAGATCTCCAATGACATTTTTAATTAAATGCCAAGGAGCATGCACGTGTTCCCTCATGCCAAGTTGAGCTTTTTCCCTCATCAGAGGGTTCTTGCCACTGTTCTACCCCACAGATCATGAGAATGCTAACACTGTTAGTTAATACATCTTCATTTGAATATAATGTATTTAATCTTTTCATGCATTAGTTCTTAATTAAAGTAGAATTCAAAGTAATAAGATGAGGAAAAAATAAGTTGTTTTTCTCCTAATTAAAAACTTCCAAGTGAGATAAGTGCTCAGTAAATTCCATCTGGACTCAAAGACGGAGGGAAATATGCCAGGAAAAAATATTTTTGAAGGAAGCTCAATTATAAACACTAGAAGCATGGAAT